GATGGGCCCGTAGTTTTTGTGGCAGATGTGGCCACCATGGACCATTCTGTGAGCGAGTCCACCGGTTGTGCGAGGAGTCATCGCTTCCTTCAACAATCGAGAGAGTGCGCGATGTCCCCTACCGACGCGCCAAATTGCTGGTGTTTCAGAAACCGGACTAGTAAACTTATACGATTGTCGCGCTGCTCCAGGAAGACGATGGTAGCATCCAAAAGACACGAGGATTTATACTGGTTCAGGCCGAAGCCCTACGTCCAGTATTAGAGATAATCGAGTACGTGTTCCTTGCTTGAACGCTCTGAAGTTCTTACAATGGGGGGTGCAAGAATGGTGCACTACTACACAAATGATTTTGCGCGACACCCCCCCGGAGGCCACCGAGGCGGGCACCTATTTTTGCCCGTCACGGTAAATGCCACGGTTTACCTAGGCGGGCATTTTTTATTTACCACGGCGGGCATTTTTACCCGCCACGGTAAATCGATTTACCGTGGTGGGCGTCCTAAAATACCCGCCACCTAAAATGTGGAGGCCCAACTGACCCAAACCGAGGCCCAATAGCCATCTCCAATATAAAAGGAGGGAGTTAGGGTTTCACTAAAACACATCACCCACATCCCTCGCCGCCTCCCCCACTCTCTCTCTGTCAGCTCCCCGCCTCCCCCACTCTCTCTCTCTCAGCTCTCCGCCTCCCCCACTCTCCCTCTACCTCCCTCTACTCTCCCTCTACTCTCTCCTCGACAGCAGGCAAGCCTTGGCAAGCAGCTCTCCTCCATAGAGCCGCCATGACAGCCATCCCCTACACAAGGCGCTTGCAGCGTGAGAGAGAGCGGCCTTGCGCAGGTGGCACCGCACCGAGCGACACGACAACGGCGGCGGACCCCTCCCTTCCCCGTCGGCGGTGGCGGTCCCTCCCTTCCCTGTCGGCGGCCTCCTCTAAGGGCACGCGAGGCCTCTAGACGGCGGATCGAGGGCGCGCGGGGCGACGGCGCGCGCGGGACGACGGCGATGGCTGCGCCCTCCTCCTCCCCCACGGATCCTCCATGAACGATGATGGTGCGGGGCTAGGGTTTCAAATCCAGTGAGTTCATCTCCCTCTTCCTCTCCATCTCCCTCACTCCTCCCTCTTCCTCTCTCCAGATCCGGCGACAGCGACCTCTTCCTCCATGGATCCGGCGGCGGCGACCTCCTCCCCCACGGATCTGGCGGCTGCACCCTCCTCCTCCGTGGATCTAGCGGTGGAGCGACCGGATTCGGCGGTGGATCTCCACCATGGCCACGACGCTGGGACCTCCACCACGGCGGGCGAGGACGCAGCGTCGGCTGCGCGCGGCTCCCTCCACCACCAGCCTTGGCCATCCGTGAGGAGGCACGGGGATCCGCGAGCGACGGCGTGGTCCCTCGACGATCGGCGCAGGTGGTGGCGGCCATGGGAAGCCCGGATCCGTCGCCGGTGGGCTCGCCAAGGCTCGAGAACGGGCTCACCGGCGGGCTCTCGTTTTTTTTTGTTTTTTTTAAATGATTAACCGCAGCGAGCATCCTAACGTGCCCGCTGTGGTAAAAGTATATTTACCGTGGCGGGCACGTTACATCGCCCGCCGCGGTAAATCGATTAACCGCGGCGAGCAAGACCGCTCGCCGCAGTTAAACCACGATTTACCGTGGCCTCTAGGCCGCGGCGGACGGCTTTGCCCGCCGTGGAAAACCGAAAATGCCCGCCTCCAGTAAAGTTTGTGTAGTAGTGGTGGAAGAGGTAGAAGAACCTAAGCTAGGCGATGGGCTGCCTTAAGGGAAGCTTCAGGAGCCCTACTACGATGGAGAATGAAAGAGTGAGTAGGGGACTTAGAATGTCTCTCCGTCCCCCGAGATGGAAGCTCTGGCTGCCCTTATATAGAGTTCGGGGCCAGAGCGTATACAAAGGAGGAGGTTCTCCCGATCGAAGGGTCGTGAGCCTAAGGGAGGTCCTAGCTAACTTGGCTTGCAATCTACGTCATCTTATGGAGCACGTCCGGGTGTGGCTGTTGTCACCGTCTTGTGGCCACGTCATAGCAGGGTATGGCGTGATGTTTACTGTGCCAGCCGTGGCGGCACTGTAGGCATGGTGGTGGTTCGCTGGCCGTCCTGTGCGACATGATCTCTACCGTGGTCTTCGTCCTTGTCTCCTGGTTTCCTAGGGCGTGGTACATGAGTTGGTAGCCGCCCTCAGGTCGTCGATCGTTTGGTCGTCTTGAGGAGCTGAAGGCCACGATCCCAACAGTTGGGGTCGTGGCTCTCGTTGGTCCAGGTGGCCTTTAAGTCAGGGCCTCTGTCGTGGATCCCATCCCATAGTGGGTGAGATCGTATATGCGTCTTGTCGGGCCATATCTGGCCGGTGGTCATCGTGCCTGTCGTCACCGCCTCAGGGCGGTGTTGTCTTGTCCGATCTTTGTGGCGCAGGGTTGGCATCTGACCGGACAGAGGTGACTGTTGTCCCCTCGGTCCTCGTGTGGTCAGTGATGCGTGCCTGCCCTTTCCAGAGTAAGTGTACTTGGCGGGGCTCGACCTCTCCCCGTCCCTTTCAGGGGTCGTGATGGCGGCGAGGTCGTGCGCTTTTCGAGTGCCATGTGGCTAAGGCAGGAGGAAGAGGTCGTGGCTAACCCTGGTCCTAGCATCTGACCTGGCTTGCTCGGCTTGGCTGGGCCTCGGTCATTCGGGCTTTCGCCAGCTGGCGTATTGCGGGTCACATAGCCTACTAACTAATCGGTGTCCTGATACACCCGGGGTTATAACCCCGACACTACTACAGAAAATTATTTTTAGAGTCATCTCTATTTTTTTTCCTATGCGGCTACTAGCCTTCCCTTGAAATAGAATAGATACCTTAGCTTACAAACCATATCTGGAAATGTATTTTTAGATGACGGTTGCTAATACACCCCCTCCCCTGAAATTATCACGCATAATACACAACACTTCAAAATTTTAGGCAGCAACATGGGCGTCCACCATGGGCCCAATATTATCATTTTCCCCCACATCTCTCTTATCTCTTCCCGTTCCTCTCACTTATCTCCTCCATGGACTTCATCTTCCCGCAGCCCATGGCCCATGCTATGGCCGAGCAGGCATGCCCTCGGCAGGCTGCCATTATATTATTTGTCCTTTGAGTTTTTGTGACATGTTAAATATTATTGTACTCTAGCCATAAATATGCAAAAATGAGATGCCATTTAAAAAAAACAAATCCTCACTACTACAGAAAATGATTTTTAGTCATTCCTATTAAAAAAACAAATCCTCACTATGGCAGGTGGCACGTGGGGACGAGCCCATGGCCCATGGTTTATGTAAAATTTAGTCTCGATCGTCTAGTCTAATCTCTAGTGTTTGGTTTTAGCCTGGAGCAATAAGAGAGAGAAAAAAATGGTCCGGGAAAGAATGGAAATACAAACCGAGAGAGGATAGTGGTTATAATATAACAAAAATAATGGCCCTTTTGAATGCGATTCCTTGGCGTGCTCATTAGACCAATCTTAAGGCGCGTTTGGTCGGATTTAGATTCTCATATAAACGTTTCGGTTTCAGATTCTTTTAAGAAATATTTCAGCCAGACTCACTTTTTGAGATCGCTTGGTCGGTAGGCTCCATTCTGATTCACGGGAATATATATATTTTCCATAGAAAATCATAGAAATAAAAATATGCTCTGAAAATCTTAATTTTTATTTGAGCGAAGAAAAACTTAAATACAACATGTTTTGATTTGTTGCACCAGAAAAAAAATTATAAACAAATAAGATACAATTGTTAGAAGAGAAGGGAGGCAAAAGAACTGTAGTAGAATCACTGCAAAACCAGCACATAGGTGACTCCAGTTCTTAAGCAAAGAAGGAGAAACGTTTCTGAGCTGAAACGTTTTAGCATTTGATCGTTTGGCATATATTCTTAGGTTTCACGTGAGAATACGAAACAATTCTCCTACCCAAACAGGCCTTTAATAAGGTTTCAATGAGTTTTATGTGCATTAATGCTAGGAAGCGAGCGTCCGTCCGTCTATTCGGACGCCTCACTCCGCTCATTCCCGCCCATACTGCTCGTTCCCTCCTGCGCCGCATGCCCTTACTGCAATGGTCGTCTCCATTTGCCCGCGTCGCCTGCCCTTGCCATCTTGGATCTGCTGCCTCCGCCGTGCAAACTGGTTCCTCCCGCCGCAGCCACTCCATCTGCCTGCCGCAGCCGCCTCCACCATGCCAAGGCGCCTCCATCTGCCTACCACGACCGCCTCTACCGCGTTAGGCTGCCGCCACCACGTCAGCTCGCCACGCCGCCCGCGTCATGTTGCACTGAAAACGTGTGTTGCAATTGCAAACGTATGTTCCAAGTGTTTCAAATGTTTTAGAGGTATGTTGCACATGTTGCAATGGCTCTACATGTATGTTTTAAGAGTTTGTTCAATATATTTCATCTGTTTCAGACGTATGTTGTAAGTGCTTTTATCTAGAATGTTGCAATGGCTATATCGCAACTGTATGTTCTAAATGTTTTATCTGTTTCAGACGTACGTCGTAATCGTTTCATTTGATTGTTGAAAAAATAAATCTAGACGTAGGGTTCAACGAAAACTTAAGGCAAGGAAAATTTCCTGCAAAGTTTATCAATTCAAAGTTTTTTTTTGGCGAATAAATGGTATAATACTTCGGTTCTTATACTACTATAATAAAGCAACAAAAACTTAAGATTGCTATGAGAAATCGGAGCACGTTTAATAATTTCACAAAGGGTGAGAAACAAGAAGAAGAAACTGGATCATGTTTGGACTTGTCTACACTGCAGACAGCCCGCAGTGTGGCTGAAATTGAAGATCCTGATTTCCGCCGGTGGGAGGGAGCGAGCGACGCACTAGCGACAATCCTAGGATGGAAGGAAATGCAGAGGCCACGAGCACCAAATCCGCACGAACGGAGCCGGAAAATATCGAAATTTCCGGAGTCCGCCGCCGCCGCAGGCCCGCAGCCCGACCAATGGAGCTCTCCGTCGTCCCATCCCTCTCCCTGTCCCTGCGCCGCGCCCTTCCGCCGCTCCCAGCGAGGAAGGCGGCGCGGCGGCCGGCCTTCGCCTGCCGCTGCAGCGGCTCCCCGGACGCCTCCCCGGTGGCCACCCGGCGGTGGTTCGCCTCCCTCCTCGCCGCCGCAGCAGGTTCTTGGTTGCTCTGCTCCATGGTCGTGTGGGTTCTGTTCGCCGGGGGGGACTGCGCGTTCTGATCGTTTCTTTGCGTTGCTTGGCGTAGCGGTGGGGTTGGCGTGGCCGGAGGCGGAGGGGAAGCCGGAGCGGTGTCCACCAGCAGGAGGGCGGTAAGCACCTGACGACGACCTTGCACTCCGCTACATGATTTCTCAGGATTGTGTCAGGATCTTGCGAAGTTGGGTTGAGATGTTTGTGCTTTGTTTTCCTGTGTTTGGTTGATTGAACGGGCAGCTCAGGGCGTCCAAGATTCCTGAGAGCGAATTCACCACCCTGCCCAATGGCCTCAAGTAAGCGCTTCCTCTGATTTTTATTCATGTCGGTGTGATTTTTGGGGAAATTTGGCTCTGCTTCAAGTGTCTCATGTATTAGTATCTAACGAAAGTAGGAAAGAGTTTATTGAGTGATTTGAGGATAACGAAACCACTATCTATATAGATAGGATTTCCTATGCATAAGATTTCTGAGTAGTACTTGAAGCTTAGCACTAGCATTGGCATTTAGTAGTAGTTCTGGCAATGAGTGACTACCTCTATATACCTTGCTCAGGGAAAGGAATAGGCATATGAATCAGAGTTCAAAATAGGTCGTTTCACTATTATTATTCAGATATAAAAAAAAAATTGCTGACCCTTGTTTGATTGAAAGATGAGCATGTTTCCCAAAGTACTTACCAAATTTCTGACCAGGTACTATGACATCAAGGTAGGAAGTGGGGCTAAAGCTGTTAAAGGATCCCGTGTTGCGGTAAGTACCACCTTAATTTGTGTATTTGGGATCTAGCATGATATAGCCATAATGAACGAATCATTGGCATTTGCAGACTTGCATTTGGTCTGCAGTATGCAAATCATACATGACACTGTATCTCCCTCAAAATGCAATAATCCAGGAATAGAGGAATGGTGACCCTGAGGTCTCTTGAGTCCTGAGACCGACCGGAAGTCTGAATTGTTTTCATTTGTTTACCAACTTGAACACTAAATTAATCTCTTGCTGTTTTATAATGTGCTCTTGTTTTGAGAAATCATGTGAATCAAATAATGACTTGCTTGGAATAAGTTAGCATGCTATAACTAATTGACGCTGAAAAGTCTGTCCTAAAATTAAGTGGATCCCATTTGAACTTTGATATTTTTTCATATACCAATACCAATTTTGTCATACAAAAAAAAAAAGATAATTCATTAACTACTTACAAACAACCTGTATGAATGTTTACCAATTGCATTGTTATTACAGACAACAGAGCTGTATTTATCTTGTATAATGTTCGATGCTTAAGTTAGTGTAGGTACATTATGTGGCCAAGTGGAAGGGCATCACATTCATGACAAGTAGGCAGGGTCTTGGTGTTGGTGGTGGCACGGTAATGCTATAACATATTCTGCCTCTTTCTCCATATAATTGCTACATGTTCTCACATTGGAATGTGCTTTTAACTTGTACCAGTCAATGGTGGTACTGAGCTAAATTTTCCTGACATCTTATGAAATTCTAATCTTGGAGAAGTTCCTTGCTCCTACCTATATCAGTTTATGATTATTTTGGTGCTTCTTTATTTGAACCAGTAGAAGTTTCTTGATAGTTTCCATATTACAAATCCTGGTATTTATGGAGTGAATATATTTGATATCTCAGCTGTGTTTGTTTAATATTGCTGTCTTTTACAAGTCTTAAGATTATGTGCAGCCATATGGGTTTGACATAGGCAATTCTGAGAGAGGAAATGTTTTAAAAGGATTGGATCTTGGGGTCGAGGGAATGAAAGTCGGAGGCCAGGTCAGTTAATGCAAGTTTTGATTTGGTTTCCATGTTTGATCTTTCATTTCAAATAAAAAGAAATAAACTGACTCTATCAAGAACTAGTATATGGGCACTGATTCAATTAGCTATGAACCAGAATGAGTATAACTAAGTTCTCCATGTGTCCATCATATAATTCTTTATCAAAGAACAATGTTAATGATTGTCCTAGGACATGTTAATGTAATTTGTTGTGCAAGTTCCTTGTGTCATGCCTAAAAAACAATATTGAATATCCATTTGTGCTTCAAACAAAAGAAAAGATGCATGCAACAAATGATTGGTCTACTTCATCCATTTCGTTCCTTTGAACATACATATATGGGAATTTTAACAGCATTGGAAAACATGATAATGTAATTTTCAGAGGTTGATAATTGTTCCTCCTGAACTAGCGTATGGAAAGAAGGGCGTCCAGGAAATTCCTCCAAATGCAACTATTGAGGTAAACTAACATTTGTTTCCACATCATTTACAAACTATCATGTTCTTTACCAGTTGAAGACCGTCTATTCAGTTTTGGTTTTCTCCATCTTATTTTTTATGTTCCCATTATTTCAATAGCTGGATGTTGAGCTACTGTCAATCAAACAGAGTGCATTCGGGTAAGTGTGATTGACTGCTTGTAATTGACATTCAATTTTTTCTCTCTCCAACCGTCATGGTAATATAAATTTCCTTTTATGCAGGACTCCTGTGAAGATCATTGAAGGATAACTGTGCATAGAGTTCTGAAGGAAATGGTACATATTTGCATGAACAGTGTAGAGTGTTGCTATTGAAAAAGGCTAGTTTACAAAATATGCTGGTGGTATTGCACTGATAGTACTCTTGTAAGATTTCAAACTTTATTGAAATATAGATTTTTTTTCCCTCTTATATTTGACAACGATGGATCCTTACCAATTTCTCCATTACCTGTACTGCTTAGAAGAATCCTTGTAGTAAACATTTAGTTGCAAAGAAAAGTATAAATGGTTGCCTACCTTGATAGTTATATGAATAAAATAAAAATAAATTGATGTTTGGGATTCCATGTGCAGTTTGTTATTTGAGTTAAGAGGAAGAAAGTGCATACTCCCTCCATCCCAAATAGAATGCAATTGTCACTTTTTGAGGATTCAAACAATTTTAAGTTTGGCCAAATATATACAAAGAAATACTAACATTTATTATATCGAATAAGTATCATTACATTAATCATGGAATATATTTTCATACTAAGCCTATTTGAAGGCATAAATGTTACTATTTTGAAGCAAACTTCAAGAAATTTTGACTTGGTTCAAATCTAGAATTTCATTCTTTTTGGGATGTAGGGAGTATACCTTTATGGAAAAACATAAATAATAGTATGCAACTAGATGTATAAAGCAAAAGCCAAAAGCGAAAAGCGAAAAGATAAGTACCTTAATGATCTAATGGACGACTGTCTTCATCTAGCACACGCAAGCAAAAAGGTTAGATTTTACACATTAAGCAACCCTGGCTTGTTTGTGGTGACTTGGTCTACTTTATGAGAAGCATGTCACTTTTCACCTATTTTATTACTGTGCTTCTCTGTTATCAATCATGAGCACAAGGAGGGAAGCCTTGGCTGTTAGAAAAGGTTCCATGATGCCCAGCAGATGATCCTGGGCAATGTTTAAACAAGGAGGTAAGCCTTTGCATCTTCTGCATGCAAAGTTTATGCTTTCTTCTCATAATCAAGAAATGGAACAATACTAATCTTGCCCTGAAAGATAAAGATGATTTCTAGGTTGTTTAAAACTCAGAGCTGCTAGTCTTTATCTCTGAGGTATATTTATGTGAAATAAGGTCAAATGGTATGGAATAACCCTAGCCTATACATTTGTTTGTTCTGAAAAATCTTTGTTTTTGTTCTTAAACAAGGATCAATGTTATCGCAACATCGATGGATGGTTAAATACCTGAACAAACTTGGCATAGTTTAGCCCTGAAGGCAAAGCAATGTATGAACAACTTTGGGTTGGCATACATATAGTAGTTAAAAGCTTATTCCACTGAGACTGGAGGAATGATGAAATCTTTTCAATGGAAAGCAAGAATGCAGAGAGCATCAAGAATCTTCTTCTGAAGATAGTCTTTCCCTTAGCTTTTCCCCTGGCTGGTGCTTTTATCTGTGACCTCATAACAAACCGGGCAAATAGGCACAGTAGTTACACAGACTCATCTGGTAGTTCATTCCAATTGGAACAATCATTCGGTTCAATCTGTGAAGAAGAGGAGGAAGAAATGGAATCAACTCGCCGCGCACAGCAGAAGTTGGCGAGAACAGAGAGTGCCTGCAGCACTGCCGGCAGACTTCTGATCAGTGAACTTGCAAGGCAGGCTTCGAATGCCGAAGAAGTCATGGTGGTAGAGGCCACTGAGGATCCATCAGAAGCTGCAGCCAAGAACCAGATCCAGGATGATCAGGGAACGGAGACAGACGAGATGGCGAGCCTGAAGCTCATGGTGTCAGCACTTGAAGACAGAGCGTGCAACATCGAGGCGCAGTTCCACGAGTACTGCGACATGAAGGAGCAGGAGTCGGCGTACCAGAAGATGCAGATCATGTGCCTGGGCATGAAGCTGGAGCTGCTGGAGTCGCAGAACCAGCAGCTCGAAGCAGCGGCAGCAGAGATCCGCGCAGGTGCGGAAGAGTTCACGGCCATGAGAGGCAAGCTTGAGAGGCTGCAAGGCAGGTTCAAGAAGATGTCGAAGAGAAGCAAGCAAGATTCGGATGCTTTTGGTGAGAGAATCGTGGCTCTTGATGCGAAACAAGCCCAGATGACGAGAAGGTGCGAGGAGTTTGAGCAGTCCATGGAAGAGATGAAGCAGCTGACGTTGCAGCTTCTGGAGCAGAAGGGAGCAAACAATGAGGTAACCCCAGTCCATTGACGATCAAACTGTCTTGTTTGCTTCATCTTTCCGTGTCCTCTTTGGTCAGTGATTTGAACTGAAATGAAACGATGGATTTGATTGAACTGCATGCTCTGCTTTCCTTTCCTTCATGCATCACAGAACGTGGAGGTGGCGGTTGAGAGAAGCTTGCGGAACCTGTCGAGCGGCAGGGACCTGGTGGACGGGCTGGAGGCGCTGCGGGACCGGTGGGCGGCCGGCATGGAGGAGATGATCTACCTGGGCTGGATCACGGCCTGGCTGCAGCACGACCTGATGCTGATCGACAACGACTATGGCGGGACGGTGCTCGGTGCTGGCAGCACCTACAGCGGCGACGACGAATACGACGATGACCAAGACGGCGTGGTGCTGGAGGAGCAGGAGGAGGAGAGGAAGAAGAAGGGCGAAACGATGGTGGCGTCGGTGCCGCCGAGCAACCAGGTGGAGCTGCGCAAGGCCGGGTCCGTGTCGCCGTCCGCATCCGGGACGGCCCCGCCGCGCCGCAGCGTGGAGATGGAGCCGTCGTGCATGGGGTTCGCGGCGGCGGCGGCCGGCGGGCGCGGAAGGGACGGCAGCGGCGGTGGGTGGAGCATCGGCCGGCCGAGGCTGATCCGGAAGCTCCGCGGGTGGGCCACCGGAGGGAAGGCGGGCGGCAGCGGCAAGACCACGCGGTGCAGGATCGTGGGCCCATGTTGTCAGAAATAATTGATTGAATTAGCCGATTTATGCATATAGTAGATTTGCGCGTGAAAATGGAGAATGTAACTTCGAGACAAAAGTGTGAAAAACAAATTATGTGTTACTGTGAGGGGGAAAATGGGGGGAAGAGTTGCTTGTGACGGGAGGTAAAAGGGAAAAGGAGCGGCGGATTAACGTGTCTTTTACGTGTTGTTGGGGATTATTGGTGTGCTTGGGAGCATGGGAGTAATATCCGGCGTTCACGTGATTTGATATTCCTTCATGTACTTCAGAAAAATATTTCTGTGTACTAGTTGTGTTCATCGGGATCCCTGTCAACGTTCTATGTACTTGGATACATATAAAATGTAGTTTACATGTAGCCGTTTGGAGAGCACGTGTGATCGATCTCGCGATGGCGCGATCCGAGTTTGAGCCTGCTGTGCCCCTGAAAAAGATTATGATTAAATAAAAGTACTCATTTTCTCCATTTACTGTAAATAATTCGGATTGTGCAACAGTTACCTATATCCTTCCTTAACTCCTATGTGAAAATCATCACAAAGCTCCTTGCCAATAGACTCCAGCCCCTGATCACAAGATTGGTATATTCCTGTCGACGAAATATGGTCGGTAGTCTACCGAGGAGTATGTCCATGGTAGTAGATGAATCGGTGGAGGTGTGCGTAATAGGAGCCGGATGGTGACACAAGTGCAGAGACAAGCGATTTAAACAGGTTCAGACCGTCTAATCGACGTAATACCCTACGTACTGTGTCTTTGGTGGATTGTATTGAATATGAGATGCATTCGAGGGGGTCCCTACCCGTCTTATATAGTTTGGAGGGTAGGGTTACATGTCGGTTTAGGTCTAGATCTATTCGGCTATATTGTAAGTATTTACAAGGCATGCGATATCTATCATATCCAAACAGATCTTCCTTCAGCCTGTTCGGTTGGCTGATTCGTTTCGTTGCTGGTTCGTGAAGAAGTACTGCGGGCTGGTTTATGTGAGAGAAAAATACTGTTTCGGCTGGAAATTTATGATCGTTTACGACAAGCCACAGCCAAACGAACAGGCTGCTTGATCGCCAATATGTCTTCTGATTGTCGTGCGGTGCACGCTGACCAGAGCCGAGCACCGTAGGCCTTGATCTTATGGGCTGGACCTCTCCCGGTGGTGCGGCCCATGTCCATTGCCGTGGGTATCTGGGGTTATACCTCCCACACACAGTTAGTCCCCGAGCATCGTGTATCCGCTGAGCAACGCCGTCTTGAGCAGGTCCGAGCAGTTTAACTTGGAGTCAGACAGTTAATCTAGCAATCCGACCAGTTTAACTGGTAATCCAATCAATAAAATGAAGTGCCGACCATTTTGACTAGTAATCCAATCAGTTTAACTGGTAATCCGATCAACAAAATGAAGTGTCGACCAGTTTAACTGGTCAACAGGCCTCGAACATACTCAAGTAAGGCTTACCAGAAGGATGTAAGGAGCTCAAGTTTAAAATTTAAAAAAATTATCCACCTTATGTGAAGTGTACACACTTAGGCTTCGTTGGCGAAGTCAGATGATCATCATCCATGACTTAGTCAAAGAGGATGTTAGTATTGATACATGCACCGCAAGATGCAATGTATACATTGTAGTTCCCGAGTCTGATAGTAGGTGAAGAAAACACCTGATGTTAGGATCAAAGAATATCAACGACTGAGAAAGAAAACGAAAACTTAGCCAACCGCTAAATTTGATACAAGCACCGCAAGGTGCAATGTATACATTGTAGTCCCCGAGCCTGACAGTAGGTGAAAAAGACACCTGGTGTCAGGATCAAAGAATATCAACGACTGAGAAAGAAAATGGGAACTTAGCCAACCGTTAAATTTGATACAAGCACCGCAAGGTGCAATGTATACATTGTAGTCCTCGAGCTTGACAGTAGGTGAAGAATGCACCTGGTGTCAGGATTAAAGAAGTACAACGATCAGTTAATCAGAATAACTGAGTCCCAGCTTAGCCAAGCACACAGCCAGCCCCTATTTTAGCTGAAGACCAGTAAGAGAAAAAACATTACACTCACTACTAGGTAAAGTGTACACACTTGTCCTCGAGCCTGCTGGAAGATGAAGCAGCATCTTGTAGCAGGATCAAAGAAAATAAGCTTGAAAGCTTACCAATGTCATATGTCATGTGCGTATCAAGACCCTAGACGTACTACCTAAGATTAGCATCCTGATCCGAACGGCATGGAGCAAGTTGATAGCACACCGATGAGACGTAGCAAGATCCGACCGCCAAAGGAGTACCCAGCTTAGCTGGCAACGCTTGCACGAAGAATTCGAACGCCGAGGAGTCCCCAGCTTAGCTGGCGAGCCCCCAGCGTGGCTGACGATGAAGCGACGAACAATCCAAACGTCGTGGTGTCCCCAGCTTAGCTGGCGAGCCCCCAGCGTAGCTGACGATGAAGCGATGGACAATCCAACCAGTTGATTGGCGAAGAATCGAGCACTAAGTAGAAGTGAATGCCGAACAGTCCGACCAACTGGTCGGCGATGAAGTCCATGAACCTAGTGGTCCGGCTAGTTGATCAGCGGAAAAATGCGAAGGCCAGGTGGTGTGACCACCCAGACAATGATCCGTGGCGAACATGGAGAGTGCTTAGCACTATACCATAGAGAAATTGGAGATTGCTTAGCACTTTACCGTGGCGAACATAGAGAGTGCTTTGCACTATACCATGGAGAAATTAGAGAGTGCTTGACACTATACCGTGGTAAAACTTGGAGAACATGTGGAGTGCTTAGCACTATACCGTGGTGAAATTTGGAGAACATGGAGAGTACTAAGCACTATACTGTGGCAAAATTTAGAGAACATGGAGAGTGCTAAGCACTATACCGTGGTGAAATTTAGAGAACATGGAGAGTGCTTAGCACTATACCGTGGTGAAATTTGGAGAACATGGAGAGTGCTTAGCACTATACCAATGAGACGTGTGGGGCATTCTATCCTAAGATTCTTGTGCACGCTTAGGAATATGGGCATCATCGAGGAGCCACTACTGCTCTCTCATGACGCAGGGCGCTACTGCTCGTGCACGTTTAGGTGCTAAGTCGAGGACAGGGCTGCTTCTGGATAACACAAATGAAAATATGACTGGTCGGCAGCGATAAAATTGCCCAGCCCTCGAGCTTTTCTGGTCTGTCGTCATGACGGCGGTCACTGTTGTCACAACGCCGTTCTTCGTGGCGGTCATCATCGCGGCGCGACGCGGCTTGCTTACAACTCAGGCGGCTTGCTTAACAGCTCGCTTGGTGACTTGAGCGGCTCGGCGGCTCGAGCGGCTACACGAAGTCGTGGGCAAACGGGCGTAATCGGAGCCTGACGGAATCAATTCGCGTAGGAAGGCAAAGCCCTTGAGCATGTATAACTAAGGCGAGGGCGCAGTCCATTTTGAATGGCGATAGTATGTGTCATTTTAAAGATGTTTAGCATGGAGAAAAACAAAAGATAATTAGAGGAAAATTATGGAGAAAACAACAAATGGAGAAAACTTCATGGAGAAAATCATTATTGAAATGCATAAATACATAAGGGATACATATCTTAGTAGGACGTCTCAAGGATAGAAACGCCTGAGGTGTTCGATGGCCAGGAGTTAGGGATGTCTACGCTGTCTTTATCGTAGAGTCTATAGGATCCTGGTTGGGATCGCCTGCTCCTCTGCTGGCACCTTCTTGGAATCGGCGATGCAAGCCTCCATTCTGGTCGAGAGATCCATCGCATCAGCGATGGCGAGTCCTTCTCTTTTGCAGTCGTAGGCGGTGGAGATGTTGGCGCGCAGGGTGAGAATGCCCTGTTCCATCGAGATCTTCAACACCAGGTAGACATAATGGGGCACGGCCATGAACTTGGTGAGAGCTGGTCGGCCATGGATGGCGTGGTAGGCGGTGTCGAAGTCTGCCACAAAGAAGTTCACGTATTCAGTATGAAAGTGGTTGGTGCTGCCAAACTGGACTGGCAAGGTGATCTGCCCTAAAGGTTTACAATACCCCAGAATGGAAAATCAACAGGAACGAGATCGTCCTTCGTGAGTCCTAACTCGGTTAGGGCTCCGGCGAAGAGGATGTTGAGGGCACTCCCTCCATCAATGAGGACCTTCTTGAACCACACATTGCAGATGGTTGGATCCAGCACGAACGGGAAACACCCAGGGTATGGAATATCTGCCCACTGGTTGGCCCTACTAAATGCGATAGGATGCTTCGACCAGTCTAGATATTTGGGATCGACGACCATATCGTACTTGGTGATCGACATGACCTACCGAGCGATGAGCTTCTACTGGCGTTTGCTCTCGGAGGCGGCATATCCTCCGAAGATTGTGGCGATGGTCTTGTTGGCATATTGGAAAGCAGGTCACTTAGGACGCTCCTCCTCCTTGCCATCATCTCACTCGTCGTCCTTGCACGTCTGCCATTTCTGCTCTTCATCGTGGAAAGCTTTGGCCATACCATAGCATTGCCGCATGGTGTGCTTGCTGTTCTTGTGAATTGGGCACAGACCGTCGAGGAGCTTTTCATAGGCAGCATTGAAATTGCGCTTAGCGCGTGGCTGCTCTACATTGTTGATGAAGTTTTTTGGTCAGCGACGACGTGGCTGTGCAACCCTCGATCCATCTAGCCAATCATTATGACGGCGTTCGCGATCATCATAGTGCCTGTCGTGATCTTCATAACGCCGTTCTTCACGGCGATCATCATCACGACGTGGGTGGCAATCTGAGAGGGAAGCACGAGCAACGTCGTCCTTGAACTGCCGGTCAGCTTCTTCGGAATCTGCGTATGAGTTTGCAAGCTTGAGAAGTTCGCCGATGGTCTAGGGCCTCTTGCGGTAAGCTTTGGAACGCAGCTCCTGATGGTGATGGAGTCCTCTGGTGAAAGCGGAGATGGCCTCAGTGTCCCTGATGTTGGGGATGGTGTTCCTCATTTCTGAGAAACGCCTGATGTAGCTTCGTAAAGGTTCT